GATCGAAAAGTCCTCTACCATTTTGCAAAATTCGCAATCGTTAACGAGATATTAATTTTTGAAGATTGGCAAATAAACGTATTGGGCGGCCATATCCCGCCGCGTTGCTAGGCGTGTGGGGATAGAGTTTATCCCCACATGCCTAGCAGCGCGGCGAGATACGACTGGCACGACCGCCCTACCGCTGGTATTCAGCGGTGGGCCGGACGGATACGCGTTTATTCGCCAATCTTCAAAAATTTATATCTCGTTAACGATTGCGAATTTTGCAAAATGGTAGAGGACTTTTCTGTTTAGTTTAATCTGCTCTACCAGCCCACGAGATTTTAGGCGGTTATTACCCAGACACCCTGTATATCCATACGGTTATTCGGATTTATTTGAACTGACAACAATACGGATTAGGATATAATGATTTCAGATTGGAAATAATTCGCAAAAGTAATATTAAAACCAATTATAATTTGTTTAGAATTAAAACCGATTACTTCTTAATTCGGGCGCGGATTGAACCGATTAAAACCGATTAAAATCGATTAAAATGGATTACGTTTTAATCGGTTTTAATCGAACATTTTCAGCAGGGATGACTTATAAAATCTTGAAATATTTCAAAGCGACTTTATTGAGATTCAGAGCTCGGATCTGAGCTTCCCTACTTCGAATCCGCTCTCTGATCTACACAGCAGCGATCAGAGAAGGTCCTTATATAAGCATTTACAATAAGAGAAGGGGTAGTTGTTCTATTCTATCGCTGTGAGTCATACTAGCGCAGGGTGACCCACATAACCATATACGGGGTGAAAGTCGCAAAACGTAACCATATAAGGTAATGAGTAGCTATTATAGGCGGGTTCTAATCCATGGGGCTACGAGGGGGGGTGAGGGGCAGGGAGATCCGCGGGGAGGTCCGCGGGGAGGGGGGTCCGCGGGGGGTCCGCGGGGCGGGGGAAGCCGTTCAGAACGTTCACGGCCTGATGCGGGGTCCGCGGGGAGGGGGAAGCCGCGGAAAACCGCTCGCTCAGCTGGCCTGACCGCGAGGTCGTGGGTGCGGGTGTCGCGGGGCCGGGGGAACTGCGTTGAAGGTGCGGGATGCGCTGGGGCGGGGGAACCGCGTTGTGGATGCGGGATGCGCGGGGAAAAGGGATACTGCGTCGTCGATGCGGGTGTCGCGGGGAAAGGGGAACCGCGCCGCCGCCGTGCTCGCCGCCGCCGCCGTTGCGCACGGGCCCCACCCCACGCTTATCGCTCGCGTTTTCTCCCGCGATTTCTCTGTCCCACCCATTGCGCACGTACGCGAAGAGAAATAAGGAATAGTAAAGGGAAAATAATAATTATCAATATAATAGGAAAGAAATGTTATATTTTACCAAAGAATATAATTTATGAAGATATTAAACGCGGGGTCGCGAAAGGGGGTTCCATCACAGGCCCCGCTGCAATTTTCTTTCTCTCTTCCTCCCGCGGTATCTCCGTCCCACCCATTGCATGATTCTCGCGTGCGATGTAATTCGACGAAGAGATAAGGAACGAAAAAATTTAACACATAATGTATATATATTTATCAGACCATGTATATATTTAGCACATGATTAATACATTTAACACATAATGTATATTTAATACATAATTAATTATGGAACGCATTGTGCACAATATGATCTGACGCGTAAGCTATGAGTTCACATTCAATAAGCGACGTTTTATCATACACCTTACGCAAAATATTAATCGCATCGTCTTTATTTACGATACAATTGTGACGTAAATAATCGACGAAATGCTTAAATTTATTACTAACAGCGTCCGTATTTTGATTTAAATTAAAGTATGCATGCTCAACGCAATGTTCGAGTTCGAATATAAAAAGCATAGTCGATGGCTTCATGTACATACAAGTATCATTCAGCGTCAATTTAACAATATTTTCATTACGTATTTCTACGAGATTTATAATTAAATCTTGAATTCGTAGTGAGGATGGAACGCTTGACTGTAGAAATTGTTCAATGTCCATACGTCTCTCGATAAACATCCTCCACATTCCATAAGGCAGGATAATGTGATA